CGTGAAGCAAGTTATATTCAGTAGCTCTAAACCCTCAGGAGCCCAACATTTGGATTGTGTTGAATGTTTCCTCGGGCATTAAACTCCCACAGTGAAACCCTTTATTGAATACTCAGAAAACATGCTTTGACGTAAAGACATAAACATGAAAAGAGGTGAATTACACAATATTCAACACTGCATCAACATAGTCGTGAAAGCATTCGGGTACAATTGTTAGCTGTCAAAAGAGGCTGTCAGCACTTTGCACTTAGCACATCCAGCCAGAGAATGATCTGCCTTTGGAAGTTCTTTTCTGATGTTGTCATTGTTAAGTGAATCAACACTTCAAAATAGATTACAATGAAAACGCTTCCAAACCAAGTCAAGCAAAGTCCGTACACCCCTGGTACGGAAGTAATACATTTGACTTTCCATTGTGAAATAAGTGCTCGTTGCCAGTGCGTTATCACTAGCCTTACATGCTCAACTAAGAATGTGCGGCCAAATTTACAAACACCCCCCACCCCACACAGAAACATCATCAGATGATAAGGAGGTGAAGGGAGATGTAAGTGTGTAGGAGCCGGCCGGAGTTAAGGAGGGGGGTGGAGTTAAGGAGTCTCATGGCTTATAGAAGGAGCAAAGGGGGGTGGGGGTGGGGGGGGAAGTCCCTGAGGAAAGACAAAACACAGAGCCACAGCTGGTAATTTGGTGAGAGGTCACTCACAGTAAACACAAGCTTTTTACAGAGGGTCTGGAAAGGCCATTACTTCCTAGGATGGAAGGAGATTAGGGAGAAAAAGAGTACATAGACCCTATGAGAACTTCCCACTTCCTATGTGTATCGTTTGTTATTGTTGGAAAAACAAAAAACAAATTTTCCCACAGCACAGGCCTGGTAACACTCAAACTCTAAGGGCGTCATCCTCATGTATAATTCTGACAAATATTTAAGGCCCCACCTTGTGACATTATTAGCTTTTCTATGCAGCGTGTAATCTCCATCGGTCATGATCCGCCTCATTTTCACTTAGTATTATGACTCCCATGGTGCTCACTCTTGCACTACCTGTAGTACAGTGAATAATACTACAGCAGACTTAGAGTAAGCTAGAAGGTCTGACAGCCATTTAAGTAATGAGATTTGAGATCTCACCTCTCAGTTCCTCATACAATGATCCCAAACAGCAGATGTCATTCTGCTCAGTGAACTGGGGGCTGCTACGGTACATTACCCCGACCTTATCTCAGAGCAGATCAAATATTTTCCCTCCAAAAATGTTTCTGCAAAGAAAATAAACAACTTTTGCTGACTTTACCAAAAGGGAGTTGTTGTTTAAGATCAAAATGTAGGAAATAACACCATAACTTGCTGGGAGAGAGAGCTCCCCCTTGAGCCATGATTATAACTATCACACTGCATCCTTTCATGTGGAACAATGCAGCGTTGTCTGCAGTGGGGCATCTTTCAAAAGGCACAGCAGCATGCTTTCCCTCTCTCGCTCATCACATGAACTGAGGTTTATAATGTCAGTATGCATACAGTAATGTTGCACAAAAAAACATTCAGTTTCCTATTGCAATGCTAATAGTGTAAACAGAAGGTTCAGTGCTGCACATAACCTCAACTTCATTTCATTTTAATGTTAGTAGGGTTACACCCTATCTCGCATGCAATCTCAAAGCAAGCACGACACAACGTCGCGTTTCAATGTCATGGTCAGAAGAGTCACTTTTGCATCTTTCCTCCAACTTTCACCTAGAGAATAACTGAGCGGCCAATATTAACTTGTTAAAAAATGTCCTAATGTTCCCTGTATATAGCATGATCTTTATCTGACATTCAATTGCAACTTGAACAAAAAGCAGCCCCTGAGAGGCATAATGAAAAACAGCTGTAATAGAAACAAAGTGACTGGATTGTTAATATAAAGTAGCTCTGCTGCTTACTTACTGATGTTAGTCTGAATATCCTCACTGTAACAGCTGGATGATGTTTGCTTGTGTCATGCCGTGTTCCATTAGCTTGCTGCAGTGTATGTCAGGAAATGATGAGGTTCAGTATGTCGGTTCATTGCCAATCTGATCGTATGCAAAATTCACCACAGAAACTGCTATCATACCCCTACCCACAAATATCTGGGTGGATACAACAGTATACAAATATGCACAGTTATATTGCCATCTTGAGAACCACTTCAAGGAGTGCAATTTTTATATTAGCATGTTATACCTGTATATATAGGTTTAAGCTTGGATTTATGATTTCTCATTAATTTGATAAGTTCTAGACAGTTTGTTAAACACACCTGTAGTAAACTCAAGCAACGCCATTCATGACTGGCCAAGCCTTCGTGATTAATATCTCATGTACACAAGACAAACACTGATAATGAAGGTCATGCAAATCAAATCTATTTGTTCCTTTGTCAAATACAACGTTTAAATGTTATTGGAGATAAGTAAAAGTTCCTATTGAGAGCTCACAAAGGACTGCTTCATGCTAGGTCATTCTGAATGTTACACAGGCCGAGAGTGGGAGGCATCCAACTGTTATTCCCTGGAAGAGCGTATAACAGAAACAAAGAGGACCCAAGACTCCAGGTCAGGCAGCAAATCTCTTCAAACGGACTACTGTGCACAATGTCAATATTATATAAGTACATAATGATGTCTACTTTAGAGATGAAAAGCTAAATAAGCTATAATAACCAACAAACTGTGTTTCATAATGGTCATAACTGTCCAGTGAGAAGGGTTCACTTGTGTTTATGGTCAATGCGTTGGCTTCAGAGTGGTCACAAAGGCAGCCCATTATTCCCTGTCCCCTGGACGTTTGCCATTCTGTCTGTTTTAGCCCTGTGAGGCAGAAAGCATCCAAGAGATAAAACAAAAGGCACACTAGCTCATTGCCAGGACAAGCCTGCAGGGAAATAATGCTGATTTTCCTCTTGCTTTATTACATCTAGTGGGGTGATGTCTTTGAATGACATCCTTTATCTTGCCTTTCGAGTATAGAAGATCTGAGTGGGCTCTCTGAGGGCAGCACGCTGTAGACCAAATTATACATTTCCCTGAACGAAGAAAGCCTTGTTGTCTCTTGGGGATTGTTTTGAGTGGAAAACACTGTGTTATGCGTCAGTGTTCTCGGAGACCTTGAGCTTTGTGTATCTTGTCTTTTTTATAGACAGACTGGAAGCCTTAAAGTTGATCACACATGTTGTTGTGAAGCTTTAAGACACAGCAAAAGCGGTCACTATGTTTCAACTCTCCATGCCCACTTGCTTAGAGTGTCTACGTTCCGCCAGCCATCATTTTCAGCTGTAGACTCATGTGAGCAGCTGTGCCCTTGGGCTGCCTGCATATCGAGAAACAGCTGTGGGGATTCACGATACCTTAACTAATTCCACATTCTGCCCCAAGGAAAGCCAGCCATGTGAGATCATGGTTTAAGGTGTGTCCAATTAGCAGGGCCAGCTCCAAGCAGCACCCAGTTAGTTTGAATTAATTAATACGAAAATGCACCGGTTATATTTAAATGAATGTTAGTTTAATTTTTTAATTGAATTAAATACTTTTCCAATGATCATAGTCAAGAAAAAAGCTCTCTGATGTTGTTAATGCCAACTAATGTTAAATACAAATGTATTTTGTACAGTGGCGTCATCTTTGAATGGAGAACAGCCATAACAGTGATTCTGGCAGATTCTATTTTGGATTTAAAAAATGCAGTGTAGATTTGGGGGGGGGGGGGGGGGGGGGGGGGGGTCACATGGAATTGTCACAAATGACTGCATTTGCGTGTGAGGCAGCAAGTTTATTAGCTCCAAATATGAGAAGCTTCAAATAAGACAGAGAACATGTGCGTCCCCCTCCCACACCCCACCTTATAGCAGAGTGCGGTTTACTTTTCCAAATCACATTCAAACCACAGAGAGATTTACGTTGTCTGCTGCTCTCTGCTGCCAGGGAGTGTGGCTGTGCTCCCAGATTACACAATGCTTATGAAATATGATTATAGGTCACACCATGAAAGGTTTTTGTTTTTTTTGTAAACTGCATATGATTGTCTCAATGCTGTTTTTACAAACTGGAAACGACAGCAAGGCAGGGACTGGAAACTTTGCATAGAATGGAATACTGGATTAGAAATATAATATGTCAAATTCTCCATCCCACCTCTAATTTAAATCTCAAAAACTCAGCCAAAGGAGTGAGTGGTGACTCTGTGAAAGAGCTCTGGAAACTCACTCCCCCTTTTTTTAATGATTCCATATAAGCAGCTGACATCATCTCCCTGAACCAAAACTGATTTCCATCATGTCATAACGCACAGCGCCCTTTTACCGTGATTTTCCCTGACAATTGTACATGACCTATCGGTATTTTATAGAATATCAGTTTCAAGCCCAAGGAACGCATGATTTCCACAAGAAGAGCAATCATCAGGCTCATCACAGAGACAGAGGCACAATGTTTTGTCTGCTAAATACTTCCCATGACCTCTACATATGGTTAAGGCAATTTCTCAGTAAAACCCTGAGAGCAGGAAATGAGGAGAGTTCAAAGGTTGAAACGTCTGCAAAAACTGTGACTTCCCCAAGATGTACTGCATTAAAGGAATGTTATTTAGAATTTGCATTATTAAGGTGAAAACACATGCATACTTTAAACAGACTCCTATTTTAAACAGCTGGTTGCCTGCTACAGTATCTATTACTGTGGTAAGCAGCACAGGGTGTCACGGGAGGAAGAACTTGATTTTGATGGCATTATATTTGTGCATAATGATAAAAGCAAGGGCTGTGTTTCTATTTTTCATAGTTTATCTCTTCGATTATTATATATATTACAAATAATAATGTTGGTTTCATTCAGGGTTTTCTTAGTTAAAGATTAATGCTGAATAATATTTCTAAAATGTCAAGTAAAAAGGGCGACTGGACACTTGTGATCCTCTTAAATCTTCTGAAGGAAATAAACAAAGATGACAGCTGGTAAATGACATTTCAACTTACCTCAGACCAGAGCTCCGTGGATGGGACTGAGATCCATGATCACCCATGACTAAACTCATTGGTTTAACGAAATCCCTCGGACTAGTCAAACACAAACAAAAAGCACAATTCATCTTTTTTAGTAAAGGCTTACATAATAGATGTTAAAAAGGCTGGTCTAACCTTCTGCTTTCAAGTGATGCGAACTGGCAAATACCAAAATATGGGCGAATCCCACATGAGGTCACCAGTTTTTCAGTCATATGAACCGTTTTTACTTATTTTCTACTGGAAAGAGTGCAAACGATTCAACATATGAAGCCCAATAATAATGTCTTACCATGAATGTACTTGGCTTTGGAGGCAGTAGTCAACTTCCATCAGTCTTCAAAAAGGTAAAGTTAGTTGTAGACTGCTCCAAACAGATTTTGCTGGGGTAAATGATCCATTATTCGGCTCTGAAGTTCCGTGTTCTGCGCCTTTTAGGCAAACCATTCCAGTGTAGTAAAATGTGCTTCCTCCTCCTTTTAAATTACAAAGTCTGACATGTTTAAATCATTTTCCCACCGTAGACCACTCTGCCAACTTTCCCCAGCACATCCAAAAGACTGCATCGCAATATTGAGCTGCAAAAGTGGGGCGTCTCTCAGATCCAGTTTACCTTCCCTCCAGGATTCAGATGTTTGGCATAACAGCATCGTGTCCAAGTTGACATATTGGCATTTACGCACAAAGTTACTACAGCCCAACACAACCGTGACTTCCAAAACAACACAAGTATTTATTTTGACGTTAAATGTATGAAAAGACCTAAGGGTTGTTGTTTTGTACTTCCTTTAAATGTATGCTTTATTTGTCCACAGTGACATCGTGTGGCTGGATATGGTAACGACCACTTCTGAATCATAAACATCAAAACACAAAGACTATTAATTCCAAAGAAAAACACTAAAAACATCACGTTTAAAATATGACCAAAGTATGTGGACATCTCAACATTACGCCTAACCTTGATAATCTGCTCAAATATAAAATAAGCAAATAATGAAATTGCATACCGATTTATTCCCTTGAGTAGAATTGATTAACATTTGCCCAAATCATGAAAAAGCACTCCAGATAAAATACATAAAAGGTACATATATTTTGGCACACATTGTAAACAAATTGTTTAAGGTACATACAGTAAGGTGTATTTTATACAGGTGGTGCCGTGACAGAGACATTTGCGTCTGCACAGTAGAACATCTCCATGCCATGTGAACATGTTTGAGGGTAGAGGGCTGTCATGGTCAAACCGGTGATCATTACAAAAAAGCCAACTACTATCAAGATGGTGGGTATCAAGTTTTCACCCTGGAACCAGCGGCCAGGGGATAGTTTGAGGAAGCACGCAGCTGGTATAATGAAGATCAGAGGCGTGGCACTCAGAACACCCTGGATGGTTGAAGAGAAGACCGTTAATGTAAAAAAAAAAACACTCATCCATGCTAACAAAGATCGGTACAGACTGATTCATTTCATATAATAATAATAATAATAATACATTTTATTTCTAAAGCACCTTTCATTGCTAAAAGCAATCCCAAAGTGCTACAAGAGGTGTAATAGAAAGAAAATCACTTACATTCAGCTCCAAAACAACTCCCAGACAGTCAAAGCCCAAAGATGTAGATGCACAGGCTCCAACTATGACAACTGTTATTGCCACATGTTCTACTTTTGACAAATCCCTTCTGAAAATGGCATTGGATAACACCTGAAATGACAAACAAGAGAGAGAAGGTTATAAAGCAAACAAATTATATGTATTTCATAAAGTGTTTTGCTGTTGGGAGTGCCTGAGAAAGACCTAGTTACATGCATTTTCAGCTGTTGTTCTTTTAACCACTCAGACATTGTGTGCTTGTCAAACCTTTCTTTTAGTGACTTAGTCACAAGGCCACAACCTTGGCTCAAACCCTCAAAATACCACTTTCCCTCACATATGTAAACGTTTAACTGTTACATTCTAAGGTTGCCGTATGACAAAGTATCACTTACCTCTCGTGTAACAAAACACTCCAGTGGAAATGTGGTTATTATGCTGAAGCCAAAACAGAAGCGACCAAATGTTGCCAGGTTATCATTTCTGCAGTAGTTCTCAAATACATCTCCTGAAAAAAGGTGGAAGTATGAGTTCAAAAATACATTTGTGATGTTAAAATGAAATTACTGACTTGAAGTTATTCCAATTATTATTGATCATATATTAATACCTTGTGTGTAGCCGGTAAAGGTGGTATAGCCAGAAACAGCAAATGCAGCACTGATTATTAGTGCGGAGCCTACAGACATGTGAGTGATCCGGGACCAGTTAGCCAGTGTGGGCTGCTCCAGAGAACCGTAGATTAGAAAGCTGTTGTGGTGGCATATGAAGGCTAAAGAGACACAAAGGTGCAGAACATCAGAGTACCATTAATACACAGAGTAAGAACACTGAAAAAGTACAGCTGATAACCACAGTTTTGGCAACAAAATGCATTAAGTTTCTTTGAGTTTTCAGAAAAGCGCTCTATAAATAAAATGCATTGTTATTATTATTATTATTATTAAAGTTGTCGGCTTGTGTCAGCTGCTTTCAACTATTTATTTGTATTAAGGTGCAGAAAAACTCGGAAACAAGCTATTTGAAACAACTCTACAATTTTTCTCAGTTGTTATGGCTAACATGTTAGCAAACAAATGTCTTCTTGGAATCTGGTTTTTGACCTTCTAATACATTTAATTGCAGTATTGCAGTGTATTTTAGATCTGTTTCAGTCTCCAACAATTCGTTAGAAAAATAAATGTTAGCCTGCTTGATGAACTTCATTCATCAGGTTCTTTGTGAGGCCTTTGGTGGTGGCAGAGTAGTAGACATTGGAAAATTCATATCTCAAAAACAGCTGGGAATAGGATTAAAATCCTAAATTGTATGTACAGGTTAAAGGGTATTCTAAAACACCCCATCATCAGCATCATGCAGACAAACTCACCAAAGGACATCACACCAACGGCCTGAACTGCATTCCACCTTGCAAATGACCATGCATTCTCTGTAGGGGGGCTAGAGAGTGATATTCATATTTTAAAGCAAAGAACACGATAAATCTTGATTAGGTTTGTATTCATTAAAAAAAGAACCCCATGGCTCGCATACATAAACATTTAAATTAGAAATCCCTATGGTTAAGCAACTTGCAGAATATTCATTCATACATCTGGGGTCCCAAGGTAGCTGCTCTGATGATTACAATGATGAGGATGGCAAATGTCAGCACCATTGAGATGAAGGACACCTGGTAACACACATGAATATTTTACAGGCAGCTTCAATCACTACATGACACAGACAGCTGTGTGGTAATCTGACTCACCTTCCCAAGTTTCTCAATGTTTCGATAAAGTGACAGAGGTAGTGTAAAAGCAATGGTTGATAGCAAGATCGCAAAGTGACGCTCTGCAAGTATGTGATCTGGACCAACTGCATATGAAAATATAGACATGACATTTTAACCATTTGAATATGTTAAAATTCACTGTAGATGCTTAAAAGTATAATTTATTGATGTATATTAAGTATAATTTGATTTGAGGTGGTACAAAATGTATGCAGCATACCTCCTGGTATTCTCTGAAATACTTTGGTCAGTGTGTCTCCAGTCGTGATGTTGTAGCTAACCATTGCTGAGGAAGAAAACAAATGTGGATCATCATTCTGTTATTCATATTTGCAGTATTATTTAAACTGAACCAAAAGTCCAAAGAAATACGACAAAAATAATAATAATTAGGCAACTATTTGATAGACCACTCAACATTACACATGACATTTGACACACCACGATAAGAATATAAAAGCAACTCACCAATGAAAGGATACAGGAATTGCAGGCCAGATAAAATCACAAATCCTGGGAAACCAAACGTGCTTTGCACTAGTGACTGATAACTGTTTGTCCCCGACAGGTTGCTTCCTTTAATTAGTAAGATGATTGAATAGTCTGCAATGAAATGCAAACATAATGTTAGAAGTATTTTACTCATTTGATAAATGTATGTCTTGATAATCATAAAGAGGACTTTAATATACCCACCTGTGATAAATGCAACCGCTACCAGCAGCATCAGGCCTAAGGGTAGCCCTGCCTGGTTCAATGCATAGGGTAAACCTGTTAAAAATAGCATGATTTATATATGGACAACAATTGCAACTGAATAATTTAATTCAAATCGTTTATGCAAAAAGTGTTACAATTGTTTGTTTGTAGCCTTTATTTAACCAGGTTAAAAATCCCATTGAGATCAACGATGTCTTTTTCAAGGGAGACCTGCAGTACATTGGTTACACATAAAAACAACAGAAAACAAAAAGGACATCACAACATAATTACAGGGGTATAAATTAGCAACCTATTCACAATGACAGGTATCTAATAACATTTCATCCAGCCGCGCTTTAAAATGATGCAAGGGAATCAAAATGCTCAATCAAACATGTCATTCAGATATTTTGTGTTTCTTTGCAAAACTGCATCGTGACTCAGTTTTTTTGAGGATGAAAGAGTTAAAGGGGAGAGGGGGGGGGGGGGGGGGGGGACAGGCGCCAGTCATATGATACATGGGTTTACCACTGCAGGGCTTGAGTAAAAACAATGTTATTTGACAATGTAACTGAATCGTATCAGTATGAGTATCAGTAAGTGTGAAAGCTACAGTTTATCATCCATATAATCGATTGCATATAATTCAGGTATTAGGTCTTGTTAGGCACTACACAGGCTACTTGAATTATGAGGTGAGTATTTACCAATTATTCCAGATCCTATAATGGAATTTATGAAATTAAAAGACGCAGATATCATTGAACTTCTAGGCTCTCCAGCTGCCTTTTGAGGAGGTAACAATGTGGTCCCTTCTTCATTGTTGAGCTAGAAAAGTTCAACACAGAGCAGAGCAGTACATTATGATCAAAAACAAAAACAAGTGTTCCTCGTGTCCGTCAACATTAGCATCTCTTACCTGCTGAGTCATGTTGAGCACCTGTTGGTCGCTGATGTAGTCTCCTCTTTGTCAAAGTCTCCTCAGTGTGTGTCTCACATTTGTTTGCGGCTAACCGAGGTGTAGTCAAAATACAAAATAAAGGCTGACAATTTTACTCAACTAATCTCCTCAAAGAAAGTTTGAAATCTTCTCAACAGCGCCCCTGGTGGACATGTGACTATTTTGGACCTGAGCCACACACTTCAAACCACACACTGATCATCTAAGATACAAATGTGGGAACAGATAAAAGCCCTATTAATGACAACACAATTATGTGTTTATGTGTATACGTGGAAAGGAATTTCAGTGACCACAAAGACAAAAAGTATTTGCTAATACTATTTATTTGGGGAGTTAATTTTGGTACTTCACAGTAATTCACGAGGGTTAACTCTCCCCGCCATCAAATATATTAAAAATAAATGCTTCAACAAAATAATATTATAAATAAAAGGACACAAAACTAAACGTTCCCGTTTCTTTTAGTGGTAGCTGGCAATTGTATTCTACTTTATTATTTATTTAACATAAATGTATCTGTTCAGAAACATTGCCATTGTTATGCCCTCATAAATTTACCAAAACCACCTTCAACTATACCTAAACTCCCCCTCCTTACAAATCACAATTTAACCCCTGTCTGAAACCTTTGAGCATGTTGTAATGTAATGCAAATCAGAGCTGGTGTAATAAATATTAACTTTTGAAACGAAGGCGTGTGACACTGCAGCAGACAGGTGTTAATTAAACTAAATACTGAAAAACAGTTTCTTTGACACTTGATGCCAAAATATGTATTGACACGAGCATGGAAATTAGGATTTAAAGGATTTAAGGATTTTGCTGTGAAGCTGCCTGTTGAAAAGAGCCCTTTGTTCAGTGAAGGAAGCGATTAGAGAATAAGCAAGGAATTAAAAATAAAATGTACAAAAAAAACAGTATTTCATGTAGAGGACTGTACATTTCTTTGTAAAGATCAAATCTATTTAGTTTCGAGGTTCCTTCTGTGACCCTAATTTTGCAGAGAAAGTGGTGGAATAGAATACAAATATATATAAAATATATATTTTAATGATTATTTCCACACATGAGCAAATGAGAAAGATACATTCTAAAGATACATTCATGAATTTCCTTTCTTTATGTATTTTTTTATCGATATTTTAAATGCATTTTTGTAATAGAACATTTCAAATATTATTAATTGTTTAAATCTATATTGTTTAGGCCAAAGGGATGCATATACTGTAGGTTTGCATCATATGTCAGGGATACTTGTCACAACAATTCAAAGTCTGACAGTGCTTTATGTGTCCGCCAGGTGGCAACAGTCTCATTGTAACCATCCAACTCTAATAACATCTTAAAATAATGTTAACTTATATTCAAAATATAAAAGGCAGGGAAATATATATATCTCTGATGTGCTTATGGTGTTTTCTCCCTTACTGTCCACGAATCAAGCACTTGTTTTATGATTTAAAACGTTCCTAAATACTGTAGGCTCCTGCTTCTGACCCCTTCCTCCACATTCACGCACACATACACAGACAGATAATGTTTTACACCATTATAGTTGTGGTTTTTGCTTTTAGTTTCCGATACACTCTGTATGACACACATCTATATTCCTGACAATTACGCATGATAATGTCCACCACAATACCAATCCCATTGCCAGTCAGTCAGGTCCGGCCTCACTTGGTACTCAGGAACATCCGGAAGCACCAGCACAGTGTACTCTGACTGTGGCGCGCGGAGGGGCGTATGAAACACACTCTCTCTCTTTCTCTCTCAGAGTTTTAGTGGAAATTAGCAGTTCTGCGCCAGGAGAAGCGTCAAAACACTTTTAACGGACGGGCAGGTTCATTTTAAACAACATTGTTTCACTTTGAAGCTTTTCCACGCTGTTCTTATTTTTCACCTGTCGATGATGGAAAACTGATGGTAAGTTAACATAATCTCTACAGTGGTTTTAAAGTGCTTTTTCTATTTGTGTTAATCATTTGTGAAAAATGTATTGCTGTAAATTAGTTATAGAAGTCTGTAGCTGGGGGGAAACTAGAATAAGAGTCTATCTATCTATCTATCTATCTATCTATCTATCTATCTATCTATCTATCTATCTATCTATCTATCTATCTATCTATCTATCTATCTATCTATCTATCTATCTATCTATCTATATTAACACACAGCACATAGATTTATAAAAAAAGAAATGCTAAATAATGATACAATAATTAAGAAAACATTGTTGATGTCTTTATTTTAAAAAATAAGTCTGAAGGGTATCAGTCTTGACAATGTGATGCAACTTCGGAAATTCACATTCTATCAAATTATGTTATGATGTGTTGAAGGCCTGTATGGGAAAAACTGTGATTGATCTCTTGTACTTCATGGACAAAAGCTAGAGTGCAAATTATGTGCTACAATATGTTACAGAAGGTAATGGGTATGGCAGCAACTATTAGCCCACACACTCCATCTTAGACGACTTCCTGCTTGCATGACTGTAACATCATTAGATTAGATTCCTGTCAATTAGAGATTGGGCTGTCCTGTTTTCTTTCTATCCAGACTGTACACACACTTACACATACGGAAAGCCTGTAAAAATGTGAATATATTCCATAACATTTTTAAGATGACTGCCCATCATCAGCTATTTTGCCAACGCCCTGAAGGAGCGAGATGTAATGCCTGATAGTCAGTAAGAGGCACCGGCAAGCATTAGTTGTGAGCACTTAAGAGCTGTTTGTGTGTTGGTCCCATAGGAGCCCACAGATACTGAACTGTGATCACTCAGTATACAGGCATGTTGCAGGTTAGGCATCATAATCCTCATTAAGTCTGCTAAAGTCACTCAAATTGTCACGTTTTTGTGGCAACTCCTCAGCTCAGTTGTAGGCTTGTTCAGGTGGTCAGCATTACAGCAGCTGAGGATTGACCAAAACAAGTGGAATGTTTATAACCGTAAAATCGTCTAAATAAAAGACACTCACATGACTTGTGAAAAAGTTATAGGTAGCTGCAGTTGTTTGTGCTGACCATGTAGCAATAACTTGTTTATTATTCAAAATTATCCATGATTGTAAAAATTAGTATGGAGTGATATACACATTAAAGAGATGATATTATGTTAGAATATTCAACTGCAGCTCAGCAATAATAAATATTGAGGATAGAAAATGACATCACCAATCATCAACCTTTTCTATATACATTTAGACATGTCTGTTTTGCCTTAAAATGTGAACCTATTCTTTAACCATAAGTCCCAAGCCCCCAGCCCCACAGGTTTTCTTATGAAAAAATACTTTACGGTAACAGTAGCTATGACTAAGCTATTGGAAAATACAAAGAGACTGATTCCCCTGGAATATTGCATTAAACCGTCCTTATGTCATTTTGTTGACCTTTGTAAAGGTCTGCTTGTCTGTGTTTTCTCATGTAGCTCACAGGCTGGTATAAACTCTGCCTTCAATCATCAATTTAAAGATTTTGGCAAAAGTCTAAAGGCAGCGACACATTCAGGTTTTGGAATTGTACAAGTAAGCAACCATTTAAGTCCATTTAATGCCAATGAAAATGTGGCCTTGATATCTGTCAGATACCTACAGTATAGTGTTACTCTACAGTAAAGGATGCCACAAATGATCTCTTACCTAATCTAAGAAATAAGAAGCACTTTGAGGTCAATTAAAGACATATTTTAAATGAGCATGCAATATTTAAGCTGTGCTTTTCTATCCGGTGGCTTAAGGCCAAGGTCAGTCATCACTTAAAGCTCATCAGCAGGAAGGAGTTAAAGGTATGAGGAATAGCAACACCAAACTAATGTGATGACATTATGTTCCAGTGAGAGTTGAGGGAATCTAATGTATCCATTTTAGGTTAGTCGGCACAGGGTCAAGATGCTGACAAGTTGCAGATAAATTCAAGTGGGCCTATTTGAAGCTTCAAAGTGGCAGCTCATATCTCAAGTTGTGTGTAATGAGTTGGGAGCCGATTGACAGAAGGATGCATACCTCTATAGAGGTTAGTCGCTGCAGGTTGACCTTGTTGCTTGAACATCAAAAAAGCTTTATTTTATGGGGAGTTACAAGAAGTTTGTCTTTTTCTTGTTTATTAATTCAATTTTTCCAAGACCATATTGCATTCCTCTAAATATTTATATGCTTAGTTATAGTTATAAAGAGTTGTGTTTAAGATAATCATAGGTAGGTTAAGTGCACTTGATTCCGAATTGTTTGGTCTGTAAAATGCCTGGAAGCAATGTCCAGCCCTTTATTGCTGTGGTGTGTTTGTGTTTGTTTTTATATAATGTATATCATTTAAAGTGACCATACAGAAGAGGTGATTTTGTCTTCACAAAAACAAAAACCAGGTCTAGGCATTTGTCCATAATGACAATGAGTACAAGTCATATTTTAAAATTAATTCCACAAGTCAAATTCATGGACGGTCACAATGACATGTTATATATGATATAAATAATAAGAGTAGTTGTAGTTGTATAAGTGTAACACACACTTTGAACTTGCAAAGGCCTATTTACTGCATCTAACCCAGCAGTGTGATCTTTCTGTCCAGAGATGACAGCATAACTATTGCCAATATTTACAGTATATGTGTGGTCAATGCAAACAGGGTATATCTTTCAACAACAAATGGCAGTGTTAATAGTGTTGATAGTCAAGATGCTTATCTTGTTCAATACCAAATTCCTTTGATTTAAAATCCAATTTAAATCAGTAGTTACCTGATTTGTTTAATCTCTTATGAATATATCCAAGTGTGTCCGTACTGTTTCTCTTGGTATAAACCCGATTTGCACAATCATATACTGTCAATCAGAAACATTTTTTAGCAGTTACAGTGGACCTCCTGTTGTTGTTGCAATTACATCACACATACTGTACAAACTAGTGCTGTGGGCAGTGGATTGACCTGTGTGTTTGTGATTGATTTTTAGCATCACAGACTCAACGTTTGGAAGTGTTCTCTTTCACTATTACATTAAGATCGGGCAAAATCTGTCCATGGCAGGGCACAGAGAGATGCAGTGCAGTCTGTAGTGCATTCATATTTTATACTGCATAGGCCTGCCTAACACATCTTAGCAGTCAGGCCTATTAGTACGATGGATCTATTCCTCCCTCCTCTCTATCTCAGTGCTCTGGGGAAAAGTGGACTCTTTTCAATTTGAGCGATGGAGGAGAGGAGCAAGAACCTCACCTGGAATTGATCATTGTCATGTCAAATCTTAATTTTATCTACCGAGGAGCAGATAATTAGATCTAATTTTACCATAGCTGGCAGGAATTTATGTGTATGTCAGCCATCTCTAGGCTCATTATAGCCTTCCACTTCCTGAACTGATGATCTCTGGACAAGGATCAGAGACACCCACTTTCCTGTCCTCGCCATTTAAAGTAGTTCTAACCTGACGATTGAAACGTGCTGCCAAAAATACTTTCAACTATTTGTTTCCAATAAAGTGCCATTTCATGTCAGATATTACTCGTCAACCTCTAATCAGATCTCCCTTTCTGTCCAGACCCCTTAGGCCTTTCTCATGTTGGAGTCTAGCTGTTCACTCTTCTGAAGGCACAGGATGAAAAGATGGCACAGCTGCTTGTACCCCCAGGTCCAGACAGCTTCCGCCCCTTTAGTCGTGAGTCCATCAAAGTCATCGAGAAACGTATCACAGAGGAGAACGCCAAGAAACCAAAGAAAGAGAAGAATAAACGCAACGATGAGAATGAGATCAAGCCCAGCCGTGACCTGGAAGCGGGCAAATCACTCCCTCTCCTGTATGGGGACACTCCTAAAGGCATGGTGTCGACACCGCTGGAGGACCTGGATCCATACTACATGAATCATAAAGTAGGTTGGCTTGATTTCAAACTTAAGTGTTAAACCTAAGGACGCTCGTTTACATTTGTGTATTCATTGTTTCAACATGTGGGTTTTTCTTGTTGGTTTATTACTGTCTCTATCATTGCATTAGAAATGAGGATTCTTGTCTCTATCATTGCATGCAGCTGTGATCATGGCAGTGTTGTTATATACCCATAGGCTGTGAATAATAGATGACAGGAAGACCAAGCTAATAGAAAATATTGATATTAGGTTGATCAGCAATGTACAGAATTTGATAAGTATTTGTAAGGAATATATGTTGATACGAACTGTTACACATTTTTGGTTATTTTATACATATTTCTCTTTTTCCGTCAGACTTTCATAGTATTAAACAGAGGAAATAGTCTCTTCCGCTTCAACGCCGATTCTGCCTTGTACCTCCTGAGTCCCTTCAACCTTATTAGAAGAATATCAATTTGGATTTTGGTACATTCATATCCTTTCATCAAGATATAATTCTGATAAGCATGAATCATTTGTATGTTTAGCCCTCACTAAGTCTGTGGTTACTAAGCTATATCCCTGAATCATTTGCACCTTGCATGAGATTATGATGACTAAATGTGTTAATTCCCCAACAATATAAGTGATTTCCTTGACAACATGCCTGCAAGTTATTTAATATCGTGGTCATGTGCACTATCCTCGCCAACTGTGCATATATGACACGGAGTGGTCGTCCGTCTGTGTGGGCAAAGAATATAGAGTAAGTTCCCAATTAACTACTATTTGAATCACATACTGGTGTATATCAATATGAAAATGCAATCTACATTAACAACTACATTTTGTTCCAACAGATACACATTTACTGCAATCTATACACTTGAATCCCTCATAAAAATCTTAGCCCGAGGGTTCTGTATTGGGAGGTTCACGTTTCTAAGAGATCCCTGGAACTGGCTGGATTTTAGTGTCATTGTGTTGGCGTGAGTAGTTTTATGTTTCACTTGTTCATAATACGTGTTTTATGTCTTTAAGGGAAAGCTAGTATCATTCCATATTTTATATATGGCCAACAAAACGCAAAATAATAACCTTTTTTATACCTTCGGATTTTACTACCCCGTCTGTTGCACTATTTACAAAAGTTAAATAACACATGTTGAGTGCATATATGCGATAATGGAAGAAAATATCCCAGAGTGCAACAATGTGGCACATTTATGTTTTTTTAATAGTCTTTGTAGAACAATGGAGGCACCAAGGAAATTGTTGGTTTTTGACTTTTCCTGTAATTTGTTGGCAATAATAAACAATAAGAATATCATCAGGCTTTCCCTTTATTCATCATCACAGTGACCTCATTGTCATTGTACCTTCACTAATGTGCATGCCACAGTGTATACTGTTTGACTGCTTCACCTGATAATGTATTTAAATATACTCATGTAGTGTATCTATTAAAGGTCCCATGTCATGGCCATTTCCACTGATCATAATTCCATTGTTGAGGTATACTAAAATAGATTTATACTGTGCATTTTTCCAAACTCACATTGGTTTCTCATACAGCATCTCTGTAAACTACTTGTATTCACTGAATTTCACTCTCTGCCTTTAACGGCTCGTTGTAGCTCCAAAAGCTCCAGCCCCCACCCTCCCTGTGAGCACAGTGTGCTCCGATTGGTCGGGACGTTGTGAATCGTGCTGAGCTCCGTGGAGGTGTTGTTGACTTGTTTAGGATACATAGCGAAACACAGCCAAACTCATCCTGAGCACAAACAAACTCACAGCCAAAGTAAAAACAATAAGTGTGGCTTGATATTGAGTAAGAAAAAGGTTGATAAACGCTGTGAGAATGGGTCTGCAGAGAGAATTTCGCCGCAATCCCAACTGTCTGTTATCAGCCTGCAGCCAGGGAGGAGAAATCAGCTGAGCTGCCTGCTCCGTGCACACAGATGTGTGTGTGAGGAAGTCCGTGGATTGGTCAATTTGGACCAATCAGCGGGGGCTTATCGTAACGGCTCCGCGGACGTAACGTAACGGCTCCACCGATTGGTCCATTTCGTTCCGGGTACGGGGTTACGTCACCCCGTCCCGGAAGAATCAAATGGACAATGACGTATCTCCAACGAGGCGTTTTGGGGAGGTATTTTCTGTGTTAGAGTTTTACTCGCTACAGGGTGTACTTTGAGGGTTTTGACTCTGCACACCGTTTACATGCATAAAAACCTTCATAACACACAAGGGGACGGGTAATAACCGGAAAAGCATGACATGGGACCTTTAAGCATTGCAGGCTTCAATGTTATATGTGTTGTTGACCCAGGCAATTCTCCATAGTAATTATATGTTTCTCTGCAGGTATGTAACAGAGGTTTTACCCGTAGGCAACTTTTCAGCTCTTCGCACATTCAGAGTGCTGAGAGCATTTAAAGCTATTTCGGTAATCCCAGGTAAGCAGCAGGAGCAAGTGTATGTAAGTTAGCCTCTTGCATGATTTTCTCCAGCTGTCCTCCAGTAACCTCTTCTCCTGCTACTGTTATTACATGTATGCCGGATTCTCACAGAGTTTTTTAAGCAATCTGAACATCCTCAATCCTAAAAACACTGAAGTAATCCCAGGGGTCTCTGGTGGATCCATTTCTAAATGCAGCTGTTTGATTATCTTGCTCATTGTAATTTACCACTAAAATCAGGAATCTTAAGCAGCAACATAGCATATTTAATGTTCCTTTGTGTTTTCCTAGATCTTATGGTTACTCGTTGCCATTTATGTTTTATGATGAACAAGCTGCTTTTTATGTTTCTTGCACTATTCATTGACAGCCATTTGCTCCTCTTTGCATGTGGTTAATGAAGACATCGTGTCATGTTATATGTGTGGGTGTGTCCCATGATTGTTGCATGCACATTATCACTAACATGCATGATCCTCTGATTGCCACATTGATTCTTGATGCATAAACCCGTCATGAGTAACCAAAGTAGGACAAATTATATTCAAAAGGAGTTGCTTAAGTATTTGTGTTTGCTATTAAAACATAATATTTTATTAATAATCTTTACCTCATTATAGATGATGCTTAAATGATAGTGGAAACAAAGGGAAGAATATATGTATACTTTAAATATGTACCGATTCTACACATCAATGTCTGAAAACAGTAATTTTAGAGTACTACAGAACATGTGAAAAGAAAATGCCTTTTGTGACGACAAAAAGATTACGTTTTATGAACTACCCCGAGTAATTGGATCAGCATTGGAGCTGATGACAGACCTTGGAAATTAAATTAAAAATAATTGGTAGTGGAGTTTACAAGAAGGGAGTTTACCAGGTATCTGCCTTATAGATTAGGTTTGAGCCTACATTAGCTGCTACTAGCATAACACACCTAAATCTCCAACACAACAGATTAGGTGCTAGTTTTTGACATGAGAGATGCCTCCTTGTTTGCACATGACTACTTTTAATTTTCACAGTGCTTTTTAATTGCCTACTGGAAATAACAAGTGATTCTTTATCTGGCAGGCCTGAAAACCATTGTTGGTGCATTGTTCCAGTCAGTGAAGAAGCTCGCCAATGTGATGATTCTCACCGTCTTCTGCTTGAGCGTCTTCGCCCTCGTAGGACTACAACTGTTTATGGGCAATTTAAAACATAAGTGTATCCGGGACTATAATACTACACTAGTTAATAATATCAATATGACTGAAACAGAGAATCTCACAGTGAAGGACTACCTGCTAGATAAGCGTGAGTATTTCACTTTAAGTAAAGGATAAATCAGTAGATATACAATTATAACCACTCAATATAATTATACATGTGTTTTATTTCAATAGTCAACACCTATTTAGAGTACACCTTTTCAATATATGCAATTAAATACAACCCCCCCCCCCCCCCCCCCCCCCCCCCATTTAAAATATTCCAAATTTGTGAGGCTTTTAGACTTGAATGGACACCTCCAGCCCAATGTTGACAAAAAAAGACAAAGATATTATTAATTGCGGATTGTAGAGGTGTACTCATTAAAAACAATATATTATGTGTCTATCTTGGGCTTTTTTCCAACCACTGCTGACAAAAAAGTCTGATTTTCCTTCTTGCCCCATCAGGTTTTTACTATATCCTTCCTGGTAAAAAAGATGCATTGCTTTGTGGATTTAGCCCTTTAGCTGGGTAAGTGTATACCCAAGCACAAGAAGACTGGATACAATATACCATGTAGATAATCTTTGTGCTGTTTGATGCATCTGTGTTTGCATTTCTTCTGAGCTTTATGGACTCTTTGTTTTTTTGCAGGCAATGCCCAGAGGGGTTCCATTGCGAAAAAGCAGGAAGAAATCCAGACTATAATTACACCAGTTTTGACTCCTTTGGTTGGGCCTTTCTCTCTCTGTTTAGACTGATGACGCAGGATTACTGGGAGACTCTTTACCAGCAGGTAGGCCCTGTAATTATAACGATTGGATGTTTTGAAGTCATATAATACATAAGTCATGCATGCATAGATGATTTTCACTTCAAATCATTTGGTCAAATTCAGTAAAGATCTCCTCTTGGTTAGCTTGCTGTCATTTCTGTTTATACACTGAAAAAGAAAAAGATGGTATTCATTCTTCTTACACAACCCTGGCTCTGAAAATGGGAAACAAACAGAGCAGCTGTGAAGTCACACATCATTATTCCAGCCGGGCGAGGGGAAGTACGATGGATGTTTAAAGATAAGGCAGTGTGAGCGAGAGGGAACATCTGGCACATGCTAACGTTCTGAAGGAGCGCAGATTGGAGGAGAGAATTGTTTAAGGAATTTAATTTATATGTGAAAATCTTTCTCCAGAATCAGTGTCTTCAGAATCGCTTATGAATGCACATATATACGTTTGTTTGTTCTTATATGATTATAACGAGCTACACTAAGCTTTTAATATTATAATTATTTTTGCAAGACAATATAAGGTTTAAAGACTGTGACGTCACATGAGACAGGGAAAAACTGACCCTGAGGTTATTGCAGGATAATAAAATATTTGATGGATTAATAAAGCGGAGTATCATCTGCAGAAAACATGTATGTATACACATACAGCCTATTGTTGCCTCATTGCTGCAGCTTGTATAAAGATAACCATGTAGAATTTGGCAAATGTCTTTCTATTCAAGTGTATAATGTTCTCTAATTTCCTGCTTAGATTAAAAAAGTTGTAAGGCTAATACTGACAACCTGACACTTCAGTGTTTTTCTGTTTAATCCTTAAATGATCCTGATGAGCCCAGGTATTATAACAGCTGTGTTGAATTGCTTAAAGTCAATGATAACATCCAGGTTAACTCCTAATTTAGCCTAGTTTTGACTATGTTGTAGCTCTTTATGAAGGTAATCTTATATGCCAATATGGTCTTCCTTGGTCGTTTAGTTTCTCAGTAACACATGGCAGGTTGTTGAAATGTTTGACCTCATGTGTGTTGGAGGATGCTGTATTTTTACCGTCTGCTTCTTCAAATACAAAAAAGGGCAGTGCCTTCTGTGGAAGGGCTCTGTAAAAAAGACAAAGCATTCTCACATTACATACAATATTGGTATTAATAGTGTTCAAACAAACCTCTAAATAGTGCAGGTGCATCTTGGTCAGAAGGAACAAAGATGAGCCAACTGTGACTCAGGCAAACACAACTTGAATGGGACTGAAGGTAAATAGTTGTCCACTGAATGGGCTTAACATTGTAGTATCAGCAAGTAAAGCAAACAGTAATACAACACTGCACTTTGTGTACTTGGTTGACATGACCAGCTTGGTAGTTTCAAAAAGCTTTTTTTTATGGCAGTGTTATTGGTCATAATATGGAACACTTATTTTGTGTTTTTTAATCCTTTGGCTTCACTTTAGCAAGTTTTACAGGGTATTCAATCTAATTTATTTAATTTATCAAAACAAATCAGGTGTTTTACTCATGAGAATGTGGTTAAAGTTATATTTTCTATAAATGTTTATGATCATTTTAAATATTTCAAATGATATTGGTCACAGACAAGTAAAAGGGAAGGACAGAGACATTTACATAAAGTATGCTGCTTTGACCTATCCACATAACATCATAATGATAATCATAACTAAACTTACGGCAGATAGTAGAGAGCAGAAACATATTGAATTATATTAGGAAATACAAGATAACAAGGTCAATTCATTTTAATAACTATATTAAATAAGTGTACCACAACATTGTTTTTATTTTTTCTTCCAGACATTGCGAGCAGCTGGGAAGCCCTACATGCTCTTTTTTGTGCTGATAATTTTCCTCGGTTCCTTTTATCTGATCAACCTGATCTTGGCTGTAGTAGCTATGGCCTACGAGGAGCAGAGCCAAGCCACCATAAAGGAGGCGAAGGAGAAGGAGGAAGAGTTTCAGGCCATGATAGAGCAGCTGAAACGGCAGCAAGAGGACGCTCAGGTACAGGGCGATCGAATGTCCCAAATATTAATGTCAAATGACGGATTTCAAGTAAACGAAATAAAGTTGGAATGAATCTTACTTTTATCACTAGGTATTTGTTTTTACAAAAGACAGCTGAGGGTTCTAAGTTGTTTTATAGCCAGTGTTTCAATTGTGGTTAACTTTTGCTGGTATTATTGTTATGAGTCTTAAACTTTACATGGAAAAAGCTGCGACCCAGTTACAGTGCATTCCTATGAATATGTTTGGTTCTCACTTACAATGGAAAACTTCTACATGCAGTTGAACACTTTTTATGACACAGTGTCATTAATACCTGAACAACATATGATTCACAAAGTTCTATTCCATGTGTTTACCCCATTTGTCCTCACTTCTCTTCTAGGCAGCAGCAACTGCAGCGGCTGCTGAGAGAGGCGAGGCCAGTGATAAACCCAGTGGCCTGGAGAGCTCTTCTGACTCTAAGCTCAGCTCAAAAAGCGCCAAAGAGAGACGCAACAGAAAAAAAAAAAGGCAGGAGGATGGCAAAGGGGATGACAAGAAGGTCTCTAAATCCGAGTCGCAGGACAGTATTAAGAAAGGTCGCTGCCGCTTCTCTGTGGATGCAAACCAGCTCAACTATGACATGAAATGCTCACCCATGCATCAGGTTCAGTATGATCTGCCAGTAAGATTGTCTATGAAAACAGCGATATTAGCTACCGATGTGATGTGAACTGTTGCCCTGCTTTCAGGTTATTATGTCCTTTTTCAACCCTAAAGCCCGATTTATGCATTGTTCTTTCCATTAATTTTACTTCTACATGTATCTTCAATGCGGTTATTCTGCACCAATCAATAATAGTACAATTAAAGACTTTTTTACAGTCCCATCAACTTATACTGGCATGAATTGTACTATTCAATAAAAAAAAGATTGTATTTCAGTATGAAATATTGACTTACAGAGCCTGTCAGAAAATAGCAGTGCTCCAGTGGCCATATTTTGGAAAGAATATTCATCAGAATTGATAAGATGCAAGTCTGTGATAAATGTTTTTTGTAATTAAATGGCAGATATGTCTAACTTTGTCAACAGGAAGACTTGCTGGCTTTTGTCAAGCTCTTTGCAGAGCTCAAACTGAATGACAGGCAGTAGAAGCTAATGGATTGATAATGAGATTGCCAAGCTTACATTACAGCCACAGATAGTTGTGAGGAATTCTAACGTCATACCAAGTGTTGGATTTTTAGAATATTAAGAATGTGTTACTCAATATATACATAATATTGTCAACATTTACTGATCTTCCTTTAGTTTCTTATACATTTGTGATTACTTTCGTACATGTTGTGAGCCCAATGCAACGATTAATTCACTGCTTTCACAATGACATTTCTTTTCCCATCATCACCTTTGGCATTGTCATTTTCATCATCATAATCATCTTCTATTTCTTGATCAACTTCTTACATTGTTATTCATTTTAATCATTATCAAGATGCAATTTTTATTGTCTTCACATTCCCACAAAAGAATGCTTTTTTTTTCTTCGAGAATTTAGTCATTTTTCGTAAAAATATGGTGATTTTTCAATCATCACAATCCTCATCATCATCATCATCCTCATCATCATCATCATTACCATCATCAGCATCACTGTCAAAATCATCATCAGCATCATGATGATCTTAATCTTCATCTCTTCATCATCTTCATGATCCTTACCATTCTTACTGTGCTCATCACCAACATGTATTTTTAATTTTGCAGTTTCCTTTTAATCCTCAAAGCATAATTTAGAACATCGTCAACCTTCTCATTATCATAAGGCATTTTTTGTTTCTCACCATTTTATGTCATTTGCACATATGACATTGTGGTCATTGTGATGTCATCTTTCCTTTTTTATGATCAGAATTTATCTTATTATGATAAGATGATAAGAATATCTTTCTCTTCTAGTCCTTTCTGAGTTTTCGTGGACCCATGTTCTCATCCAGACGGAATAGTAGGACCAGCATTGTCAGTTTCCGAAGCCAAGCGCAGGACGTGAGCTCAGAAAATGAATTTGCTGATGACGAGAACAGCATTTTTGAGGACACACTAAGTCGAAGGGGCTCTTTGTTTTTCCCCCGGACTAGTGATCGACTCGGCAGCAGTATGAGCCAATGCAGCTTCTTGTCGCATCTCCTACTTCCACCAAATGGGATCAAGCACAGCTCTGTAGACTGCAATGGGGTTGTGTCTCTGGTGGGTGGGAATTCACACCCACTGTCACCTGTGGAGCTACTTCTGCCCAAAGTGACGGTAGATATGGCCTTCACAGGAGACCACGTAAGAAAGGGTTGTCTATCCCAGATTGCCCTACTTCATTTGCCTATAACCCATAACTCCATCTTTTTTGTTGTTACCTTTTACTGTCTGTATCAAATACCCTCATGTGTAGGAATCAGGATGCTGTTTCAGTAGAACATCATTCCAAAGTTCATGATCATTTAAGCAATTGTTGTTTTATTGAAAGTTATTTTCTAAAAGTAGCATTTCACTGTGCTAGCATTGGTATCTGTGAAACTGGCGCAAAATCTTAATTGGATGAACTGGAGCCTTTCACAAGGCTTCCCAATACCCTTCTTAGAGCCAAAAGCTTTCGTGAATGCTAGACTCACTTTCCACTGTTCATGCCTGTTACGTCCCCACTAAGGTCTAGGGGACCTGGAGACATTAACACACAACAACCAATAATATGAGAGTCAGCGTAAAGGTTTGACAAAAGGTTTATTTTTGTCAACCTAGAAAACTGAACAGAAAATACTCTGTGTGTGAGGAGGAGGAGGAGTCGAAGGATTGTGCCAAACAAAAGAAACAAGCATAACAAAACCAGGCCTATCTCTACGTCTATCCTTTGAAACCAAAACTCAAACAAAAACCCTCACTACCTAAACTACTCAGAATTGGACAAAACAGAATACAGGGGTGGCAACAATCCGCTAACCTAGTGTGTCTTAACATTAGTTAACTACGTGATGAGAAGTGTACAGGGTACCCCAGACTTACCTAACTCCTCCACCTCTCAACACACACACTTTCAATATAGGTCATACAAAACAAAGAGGAATATTGTCGTTACAAGGTAGTCAATTGCATGCTCCTCCATCAGCAATCAACCCAGAGTGAGAGAGAGAGAAGACTTCCTGGGTGCCTCCTTTATGGTCGGCCCTGGCTGCTGATAGGCCAGCTGAGGGTGAGAGGATCCAATCAGCCATCAGACTCTGGTGCACAGGCAGGTCCTGATCAGCTGCTGATTAGCTGTGCAGAAGACAGGGAGAAGAGAGAAAAGCAGGAGGGAAGGAGAACCACACAAGTACAGCCTGCCTAGCACGTAACAATGCCGTTTTCTGTGGTCAGGAATGACAATTACAGTGTTCTGTATTCACTAGCATAACTTGGACATTCCAATTTTCCTACATTTTTCCAATGTTTCATTTGTATATTCTTTTTTCAGCCACTTTATATGTATTTTAACCCAGTTCTCTAACACAGTTGCATCCGTAACAATTGTTTGTATCCTCAGGCTGACACCACTGACACAGAATACAGACCGGGTGGAGGAGCAGCCCAGGAGTGTATTGACTTCCTTGATGGCCCAGAGGCTAGACAGAGAGCTCTCAGTACAGCCAGTGTCATAACTAGCACAGTGGAAGGTAAGCATTGTAGACAATGGCATAAGTGTGCTAGCTGGATTTTGTCTTGCATAATCGAAAATAAAAATGATGCAGCAGATTAAAACATTTTTTTCGGTTTAACCATTACTTGTGTTTATCAGAGCTTGAAGAGTTGAGGCAGAAGTGTCCTCCTTGCTGGTACAATTTTGCCAACACTTTCCTCATCTGGGAGTGTTGTCCGAGATGGTTGAGGATCAAGAGGAACGTTAGACTAGTTGTGATGGACCCCTTCACGGACCTAACCATCACCATCTGCATTGTGCTCAACACATTGTTTATGGCCATGGAGCATTATCCAATGTATGACCATTTCTCCAAAATGCTGTATGTGGGAAATTTGGTGAGTGGACTGAAAGTGAATTGTAAAGAACACACTTTTTTGCTAAATGGGTTTCATGTTTATTAATAGTCAGCATTTCTGATTCTTGCTTTAATAAAGATTTTTACTACCATCTTCACGGCAGAAATGGTCTTCAAGATCATTGCTATGGATCCATACTATTACTTCCAGGAGAAATGGAATATTTTTGATTCAATCATTGTCAGTTTGAGCTTGATGGAGCTTGGCTTGGAAACCGTGGAAGGCATGTCTGTTCTGAGATCATTCAGATTGGTGAGTATACCGAACATTTGCCAAAGTCAATGTTCAGTAGCAGTTGTTTGCTGAAAGATACGAAATAATTTGTTTTTCTTTTCTTTTGTAGATGAGAGTATTCAAGTTGGCTAAATCGTGGCCCACTCTTAACACACTAATCAAGATAATTGGCAATTCAGTGGGGGCTTTGGGCAATCTGACGCTGGTGCTGGCCATTATCGTTTTCATTTTTGCAGTTGTGGGCATGCAACTGTTTGGAAAACACTACAAGGACTGTGTGTGTAAAATCTCTGAAAAGTGCATTCTGCCCCGTTGGCACATGAACGACTTCTTCCATTCATTTCTCATTGTGTTCCGAGTGCTTTGTGGAGAGTGGATAGAAACCATGTGGGACTGTATGGAGGTGGCTGGGACACCCATGTGCATCACTGTCTACATGATGGTCTTGGTTATTGGAAACCTTGTGGTACATTTTCATCTCTTATGGTCAATTAATGAGCCTAACTTAACAATGAACTCTGTTATAAATACTCATGTTCTGTTGTTATCATAAAGTATAATGTCTAAAACATGAAATGCAATCTTACATGAAGTTATGTCATTATTTGTTAGGTGCTGAATCTGTTCCTGGCCCTGCTGCTGAGTTCATTCAGTTCTGATAACCTCGCGGGGATAGAGGATGACACGGACATGAACAATATGCAGGTTGCCATTGGAAGGATTCACAATGGCATTGCCTTCGTCAAGTCCCTGCTTCGAAGCAGCTGCAATAGTGCCTGTCTCAGGAGGAAGAAGAAAAGGAAGGGTGAAGACAAAACCCTGGATGAGCTCCACAAACCTTTAGGGCCAAATGGTGTCCCCAACCATACCATCAAAGACTTTTCTAAGAATGGAAATGGGGATGTGACCGGAGTGGACAAAAATGGAGACAAGTACATAGTCAGTAGCAAGAGTGATGATTCCATTATGTCTTTCATTCACAACCCTAGTCTGACTGTCACTGTTCCTATTGCTCTGGGAGAATCAGACTTTGAAAACCTCAACACGGAGGACTTCAGCAGTCTCTCGTCTGATATAGTAGGCTGCACTGAGGTAAGGATTTTCTTGTGAATTGGCGCGATTGGTATTTCAAGGTGCTTTCACTGTTAGAAATAAGTCTATACAAATAATGTTTAGGATGTGTAATGGATGAAAGAGAATTTCACTATTGGTTGTGGCATGATTTGTCACAGTAGTCCCGTTGAAGCACCCCCAGTCCATGGCAATAAGGTATGTGCGCGTGATGTGGTGTTTCCCCTGAAGATACTAAATCCTTTGGCCCTTTAAAGGGGAGAGTCCATATAGACAGGAAAATACCAGTGTGTAGATTGCATTATTTGCCATTTAGGCCTTAGTGCTTGGAAGCCGAATCCTCCTCTTAAGGGTGCTGTGTGCTTTGCATTGAAAGAAAGCTCACAGTGCAGAAGAAAAAAAGAAATACACTGTCCATTTTATGATTATTGTTACCACGTTTTTATTTGCATTATAAATGTACTTATTCAACCTTCGTCTGAGCTTGCAATATTTTGAGTTGCTACTGCTTGCTTGCTGCTTCACAGATGCTCCAAAGGTTATATAAGACTTTGTTGCAATCATTATGGAGATAGTGTACATCATTTACACTACAGTAATCATCCAGTAAACATTTTAACAGACCACTTATTTTTCTTTGACATTACTTTTTTTCCCCTTGAAATTTGTAATAATACAAATCTCCATAAGAACCATTTTTTTATGCAATGAAGTTTCTCCTTTATTCTTGATTCTATGGTTTGCTTTACGTCTTTATTCGTTTGTTGGGGTTTTGACAAAATTGGATTTTGAATCTTGACATCAAATACACAAGAGTGCAATTACCCAACAGGATATGTGGTTTACGCACAAACATACAAAGGCTTTCTGCTGACACGCTTTCAATAGATATTTAAAAATCGCAATTTGACTTAAAAAAACATAAACATAATGTTCCACTGATTACTCGTAATTTTGCTGAAGCACTTTGACAGAAGCAGAATTGATGCATTAAAGCACACAGCATCAACACATTGACTTTAATGCTCACAGTCCATCTCAGTAACATGCTTACTGTACATCATTGCCTGCACTGCATTAGCTGGTCCCAGGACAGCCAGTGCTCTGCATTCTCCAGGAAGGCATTCAAGCTGTTCTCATCTGCCAGCTATTAGGAGACACACCCTGTAGAAAGCCATATAACAGCAGGCTGAAAGACCATGCTATCGTACAACACCGACAGGCTGCCACTCTCAAATGTACTTTATATATATTTTTTTACATTTCATTTTTTAAATATTTCGTACGTCTCTTGGCTTAGCAAACATTTAATGGGTGAAACAAGTCAGAATGCGCAGTTAGTGCTCTAATGCTTAAATATTGTATTCCTAATATAAACAAAACAACAGAAAATAGTAATACATATCAAAATATGCCCAAAATCATCATGCATGATGTAAAATCCTCATGTATACTAATTAAATCTCTCTTTGAATTTGATGGGGTTTTTGTGTATGAAAATAACTTAAAGGGGACCTATCATGCAAAATGCACTTTTGTACATCTTGTACACATGAATATGTGTCCCCGGTGTTCCAGGGAACTCACCAAGTGTCAGAAAACACAACCCTCTCTATTTTCCTCCATACCCAAATCTCTAAAAAAGGGGCTGCAACGGATCTGATAAAAACTGATCCAGATTTGAACACTGTCCTGACGTCAGGACAGTGGCGCTACGGCTATTGGGCCAACTCCACCAATCAGGAGGAGACAGCCACGGCCATTGCCGTTCGAAAGCGCTGGAGACGCTGTAGTACATATGCCAGGCCTGTAGGTGGTGCTGTTCTCACAGAATCAGCCCTTGCAAAAACAGAGCAAAGAAATTGCAAATTGAGCGAAATTAGGCATGGCTAAAATGCATGATCTGTTTGGTATTTTGAAAAAATAGGTATAAATATGCCTTGTATAGGTATGGTCCTACACTGGTCCTACACTATATTATTCAAATATAGCATGATAGGTCCACTTTAATTTTGAAGAGATATGGGGAGCATGGAGAGACATGTTCTCAGTATGTCAGTCCCTTACCTTTGCCATGGCTCTGTTATGTTTGCTTACACTGGTTTGATTCTGGTTCGTCCGCAGATTGCGGAAGATGATGACCAGGTCAGCTCCTCAGAGGGGAGTACAATAGACGGTTTGCCAGGCGGTGAGGGAGTAGAGTCTGTGGACTTTGAATTGGAAGAATTTGCTGAACCTGATGCCTGCTTTCCTGACAGTAAATACTACTACAACCACCACTTTACCCAGCATGCTTTATGCTTATACACAATATTAAACAGGTGATTTGCCATCTTCTCTTTCTCCATACTCAGGGTGTGTGCGAAAGTACCAGTGTTGTCAAGTAAAAGTGGAAGTGGGCTGGTGGAAGGTGTGGTGGACGCTTAGAAAGACTTGTTTCCGGATCGTGGAGCACAACTGGTTTGAGAGCTTCATCATTTTCATGATCCTGCTCAGCAGTGGAGCACTGGTAAGAGCATGAGCGGGAAAAAAAATAACCATAAAGTTATTTTTGAACAACTGATTTGACTGACTGCTCCTATGTATTAACGTATTGTGTTAGGCATCACGTCCGGCATTAGATTTTAAAAGTGCTGAGTTCAAAGAGCATTTTGTTTACCTTTTTTCTTTTATTTAACATTACAAATATTTGTTTTAAAAACCTTTCTCTGCAAAGTAAGGTTTAGATTTTTAAGATGTATTTATTTTGTCTGATTCCTTTTTAGAATTAATTACTCACTGCCATTTTTTCCATGATCAGGCATTTGAGGACATCTACATTGAGCAGAGGAAGACCATTAAAACGATGTTGGAGTTTGCGGACAAAATCTTCACCTACATCTTCATTCTGGAGATGTTACTGAAGTGGGTGGCCTATGGATATGCCAAGTATTTTACAAATGCCTGGTGCTGGCTAGACTTCCTCATTGTCGATGTAGGTTGAAACAGATCTTCTTACACAGAATGACACATTAACTTACTTAAAATATTTCTTAGCTTCTTTTTATTAACATCTGTATGTGTTTTAGGTCTCAGTGGTCAGTATGGTAGCCAATGCCATGGGATATTCTGACCTTGGTGCCATCAAGTCTCTGAGAACCCTTCGAGCTCTGAGGCCACTGAGAGCCCTGTCTCGGTTTGAAGGCATGAGGGTAAGATTCCCTTGATTTATCTTTGTCTGACACCATCTTACTGCACCGGCAGTGACAGACAGTGGCATAATGATCCAGATCCCAGACTCTGGAATTCCCTCCGTGACTCAGAGTCCCTCACACTATTCCAGTCCGGCCTCAAAACTCATCTCTTCTCCTCTGCCTTTTGGGCTAGGAGCATTGAATTCCTGGAGTCACTAAAAAGGCTAAAAAGTATGCAGCATGTTAATGAGTGAGCTTTTGAGATGGTTGTAGGTGGATTTTTGTATCTTTGGATTGAGCCAGGCTTACTGTATCTACCTTTTTCCAGTCTTTATGCTAAGCTAAGCTAACAATGCTAAGCTAAATGTCAGACTTTTCCGTTGTGTGAGGCCATGTCTGCTGTGACTTCTCATACCCTTACAATATTTTGCTGTGCAACGCAAACCTGGTCTAAACAGGGGTGGACAACTTATGTAACCAAAGGGGGAGGGTTGACGGCTGCTAAAATCAATGTAGTATTTATTGATTAGTTGCTTTCATGTTGTATTGTTCTTGTTTTTCAGAGTACTGTTAAGATGATAGTCTTTTCTCCAGTGGTAGCTTTACTTACTGGCAAAAGCAGCTATTTATGTGTCATATGTCATTACAATTTCATTGTTTTTTAATATGACATATTCCAACACAGTCTCACGGCATTTCGTGTTATAGTCACGAAATTAATCTATTGATTCGTGTTCACCAACACGATTTCGCCATTTTTTTCGTGTCACACAGAACGATTTTAAAAGCAATGTAAATAATAACAAATTAGAAGGAAAAACACATTTAAAAAAATACAGATTTAAGTATTCTCACACAGAACGATTTTAGAAGCAATGTATTTCTATTGGTAGTATGTTTCGTGCCTGCACCAAATAATAACAAATTTAGAAGGAAAAAAAGATTACATAAAATACAGATTTCAGTATTCTGAGGCTCTGAGCCCCATTTCTTTTCCTCACTGACGGCAAAAAAACTCAGACATTATACAATTTAAAATAAAAGGGATAGGGTTAGGCTTAGGGTAAGATATTGAGTAAGAACATGTTTTTATTAACCACACAGCTTCTGGTCTTCCAAGACCCGACTGGACAAAAAGACGTGTTGCAGGCACGAAACATACTACCAATAGAAATACATTGCATTTAAAATCGTTCTGTGTGACACGAAAAAAATGTGAAAATCGTGTTGGTGAACACGAATCAATAGATTAAATTAATTTCATGACTAATGACACCAAATGCCGTGAGACTGGGTTGCATATTCACAAGCGTTTTACATGTTTTTGCTAGTAAGCTAATATTTTGACATCTATAAAACGTTTCCGGTTTCTCTAAAAATGTAGTGGTAACGCACTTAAACAACCTTTAGATACATAACACAACATCAATCTCATACCTATTTTGTTCCCACCTTATCGCAGTTATCGTTGTTTTTGAGATTTTCATTAAATCTACAGTACATCCTATCCTATGATGGGCTATGTTGATGTTTTGGTGTGCAGGTGGTGGTCAATGCCCTGCTTGGAGCAATTCCTTCCATCTTCAATGTGCTGCTGGTTTGTCTCATCTTCTGGCTCATCTTCAGCATCATGGGAGTAAACTTATTTGCGGGGAAGTTCGGCTATTGTGCCAACAAAACCACAAATGAAGAGTTATCTATGTCAGTGGTGACAAACAAGACAGAATGTGACAGCATGTACGATGCTCGTTGGAAGATCCACAAAGTCAACTTCGACAATGTTGGTATGGGATACCTTGCATTGCTGCAAGTGGTAAGTAACTGACCATAGAAAAAATAGTTGATGTAATCTTGCCAATGTCTTATTTTCTGTTTGGTGGATATCAAGAAGTGATTTGTAAGGTGAGAAATACTTTTGTTTGGAAATTGTTCATTTCTATAAAGGCTACATTCAAGGGCTGGATGGAAATCATGTATGCTGCTGTGGACTCTCGAAGCCAGGTAATCACATTTTAATGTTGCGCTCATGCTGTTTGTTCCATTATCTCACTGATAATTAATCCCACCCAATATCATAACACTTAGGTTTAAAAAGTTTATGAAATCAAACCACTCTCTCTGTAAACTACACAACAAGTTGCTGGATCACAAATAATTATTTTGACCTACTCCACGCCATGTACCTTGGTGTTGTTTTGAAACTTTAAAAAAAATCCATCCAACACATTGTGAGCACACATCACAAGTGAAAACTACTTGCGACGTGTGCCGTGTGAAATCAGACAGTTGCAGTTATCCTTGACTTAATTCTTTATTACTACAACAACATGAGTTTGTTTGGCTTCACTGTAAACAAGTACTTCAAAGGTCTTATCTAGGAGTATAAACTGTAGTATTATATTGTATTTACGGTTAGCACCAGTTTCCAAATGACATTACAATTTTAAGGATTATAACTGTTAAGTACTAATGTCTCAATTTCCTGTCCCTTTTATAGAATGAACAACCAGATTATGAGTACAGCCTGCATATGTACGCGTTTTTTGTTATTTTCATCATATTTGGAGCCTTCTTCGCTCTCAATCTCTTCATTGGTGTCATCATAGACAACTTCAATCAGCAAAAGAAAAAGATAAGTATCTAAACAAATATGGATATTTTCACTTGATATTCTGATTGACATTCAAACATTGAAAAGCATGAATCTATGTCTGCAGTGTCTCCTTTGCTATGATTTAACATGCCTCATATTCTTTATTTACTTTGGAGGTCAAGACATCTTCATGACTGAAGAACAGAAGAAATACTACAATGCCATGAAAAAGCTGGGGTCAAAGAAACCACAAAAGCCTATTCCTAGACCATCAGTACGTAACTATAATTCAGTCTGCGTCTAATCTGTATTACAACTGTGATCTTTGTTCCATGGCACTTAAAAAACCGTTTTGTCCACTTTATGTTTATTTCAGAACCAAATTCAAGGATATGTCTTTGACTTCACCACAAAACAAGCATTCGATATTTTAATAATGGTTCTAATATGGCTTAATATGGTAACCATGATGGTAGAAACTGAAGACCAGTCAGAAGAAAAAAAAGACGTTCTTTACTGGATCAATTGGGTATTCGTTATCATCTTTACTGGAGAGTGTTTGTTGAAGATGATCGCTCTTCGCCAATACTTCTTCACAAATGGTTGGAATGTATTTGACTTCATCGTCGTCGTCCTGTCAATCATCGGTATGAATCGCCTCTATTCACAGCACTGCTCAAATAAATTAAAACCATTATTCTTTTCAGTTTAAGTGTGTATTGTTTACAGTTGGTTTAATATGTTTTGCTCTCTTTCCCCAGGAATGTGTCTCTCGAAACTGATAGAGAAGTATTTTGTTTCGCCAACCTTGTTCAGAGTCATCCGATTGGCTCGGATTGGCCGTGTGCTCCGCCTTATTAAAAGTGCCAAAGGAATTCGCACACTCTTGTTTGCCTTGATGATGTCACTTCCTGCCTTGTTCAACATTGGTCTCTTGCTCTTTTTGGTGATGTTTATCTATGCTATCTTTGGCATGTCAAACTTCGCTTACGTCAAGAAGGAATCAGGCATTGATGACCTTTTCAATTTTGAGACATTTGGCAACAGCATGATCTGTTTGTTCCAGATCACCACCTCAGCGGGGTGGGATGGCCTTCTTGCGCCCATTCTCAACAAACATGAAGATGATTGTGACAATTCCACGGAGCATCCTGGCAGTCAAATTAAGGGAGACTGTGGAAATCCCCCTGTGGGGATCGCCTTCTTTGTGAGCTACATCATCATCTGTTTCCTGGTTGTGATAAATATGTACATTGCTGTTATCCTGGAAAACTTCAGTGTGGCCACTGAGGAGAGCACCGACCCACTAAGTGAGGATGATTTTGAAACGTTTTACGAGGTCTGGGAAAGGTTTGATCCTCATGCAACACAGTTCATGGAGTACAAAAAGCTTTCAGAATTTGCAGATGCTCTGGACCCACCGTTACGTATACCCATGCCTAACAAGATGATACTGATCTCTATGGATCTACCCATGGTGAATGGTGAACGCATTCACTGCCTGGACATTCTGTTTGCATTCACAAAACGTGTTCTTGGTGAAGGTGGGGAGATGGACATCCTAAGGGGGCAGATGGAGGAGCGCTTCATGGCCTCCAATCCTTCCAAAGTTTCCTATGAACCAATCACTACCACCCTCCGTCGCAAACAGGAGGACACATCAGCCGTTGTCATCCAGAGAGCATACAGAGTTTATGCAAGGAGCCGTGTTTTCATGAAGCCCTCAAACAGATCTGGTGTTAACATTCAAAGGGATGGAACACACATTGACAAAGAGGATGTTGTCACCGACAAACTCCAAGACATTTCTAGCGCCGATAAAAGTGAACTGACACCTTCAGCGGCCCTTCAGCCTTCATGTAACAGTGTGACTTCAAATGGAAGACACAAATATGAAAAAGACAAAAGTGAAAAGGAGGTTGAGGGCAAAGATGTCAGAGAGCAATAGTGAAGGAATTCTGGAGATGCAACAAAGACATTTTAATTAATGACAAAAATGTTTACAACCTTTGAAAGACATCCATTGGACTCCCTCTTTTAAAAGATAAACTATATGCCAAACCGACCATGCTTACTTGAGTCTAAAGTTTGGTGGCTCATTTGGGCTTTAGTGGGACCAATTGGCCGTGTTCTAGGTGCAAGGATGCCTTTTGGCTAAGTGTTCAGAAAGACACATTAGTTCATGCTTTGACTTTATTATATTGCAGTTCTACTATCCAGTGTCTTGAATTATTGTTATATCACTGAAAGTTGTATTACTACCTTTTTTTTCAAGCAGAAAAACATGTTACATGTATACGGCTCTTATTATTTTTAGATTGAATGGTTTGCTTTGTTGACTTTTTATACATTTTTTTACTTTTCAAAAGGGTTGTTCTTTCAGGGACAATAAGGCTAGCCTTGCTTGCTGATACCGCCACTGGAAAAATCCAAGACACAAAGTCAGATTCGCTGCATTTTACTATAAATGTAGACCTGCATGAATGTTTCTCCATCAGTGTGCATGCTGTAGTACACTATTTCCATCGTGTTCTATCCACGTCAATCATGCTTGATGCAATGCAAATGGCTTTTTTTATTTGTGAGTTAAGCCTACAGTCCAAACAACTCCAGCCCTGTGCATCGATTGTGTTTATCAGAGTCCAAGCCATAACGCATGGCAGGAATATTTTGCACATTCATATTTATTTAATCATCATTCAAATACTTCATCTCAGCCGGCTATATGCTAGCGATGTACTATATAAAATGTTACTAGTATAAACAGATTTTATCAAAAAACAATGTTTGCTTTTTTAAAGCAAAACATATAACAAGCATTTGCTGTGTACACACTCTAAATGACCCTCTGTATGAATGACCTTGCTGAACCACAAATCTCTGACAGTTTGCTCCATGACGAGTTTATCTGTGATCATGTCTATTTGTAGGACAGCTGCATCATTTCAAATATTCTCCTTCATGTGTCTTCCATTTCCTCGTTGTGTCTCTTTTCTTTCCTAGTTGTTTTTTTACAATGGACCTTGATGTAATGGTTATAAATGTATGGAATTTATTGAAGAACTACTATTTATCACCTGTGATATGAAACCAAATGTTCTCCATGATCTGCTGTATTTTAGCAGACAGGCAAGCTGCACATTTAGCAGGGGAAACATGTCAAAGGAAACTGTTAAATGAACACTAGTTATTCCTCAAATAATTACAAAGCCATGTTTTTAAATCATGTTGATGTTCTATGACTTTGCTGTTTAAGCTTAACTTTATTTTTCAACCTTTAACTTCATTTTATTATTTATTAATATTTTATGTTTTTGTATTATTTTTTAAACTGTTTTTTCACAGTTTACCTCTCAATCTTTATCATGATAAATATCAGTTGGATGAAAGACGGCTAAGAATATTCTGAATGATTGTCTCAAGGACATGGCATCACACATCTCATGTTTCCTACTTCTGTTTACATGTTATGGTTGCAGTTGTACTTCCCAGGCCATGACAACCACCCTGGACTTTGTCACAACTTCATCTGTTGTTTCATGTTGTAAAAGTATATTTCCATTAATATAAGTATATTTTGCATGTTATTAAAACATTCAATACTTACAATACACTTTATGCATAACGAAAGAATGTTTTGATTGCATAAAATGTAACATCTCCCATCATGCATATGCATAATGCTTGTAGTGTATAAATAAATGCATGCAAGACACTGCTATAACCCATTTCACTGAAATGCCAAAATAATAAAGATTACATGTACCTCAAGTATGCCAAAACATTCCATAACTTCCTTTTTATAAAATACATTTATATATTGTTTCATGTATGCAAGGACCTTCATTTGTATTGCTGTTTCTGTCTTTTTGAGCTGAATGTGAGAGGTGTTAGAGTTGGATTTGAAGTCAAATATCCTCAAAGTTATAACTATGCACACTTTTATACACATGCAGAAAACCAATGGAGCTGGTGTAGAATAATATCTTCATTTCTGCATAGCTTACTGCTTAATTGTCGTCTATATATTTGAGGTGAAGCTTTCAGCTAAAAAACATGTACCTGCATACAAAATGTACTGCTTAAAACTACTTTCCCACCCTGTGTGTGAATGAACACACAATCTAGTAATTTCTCCAAGAGTTTTTTTTTTTTTTCAAAGACATTTTTTAGTTGAATGTGATGTGCTAACAATCTTTCAAAAGTCTCATTAGAACTGTAGAGCTCACCAGTTTATTTCTTTAAAATATAATTACCAAACACTTATTTTCTTCTGTTGAGATTTTCATTGTGATTGTTTATACGTATCATATATACATTACATACATATTCAGCACTTTGAATTCAATGCTGCACTTCAACTCACCTAATCTTGGTTTGGTAAACGAATGCCCTTGATATCACAAAGGATTCACAACTATTTTGAATATAATTCAGTAGTTTTCAGACTGTCTTGATTACCTTCAGTTTAGTGGAAGGATTTAGTTTTGAAAATATTTTATCTTAAGTGCTAACAAAATCAGAGGCATTTAGCATCAGCTTTTACATTTATAAACTTGATGACAATGCTGATAACTACGAAACCTCAATCAGCATTAGCTCATTTCAGAAGCTGTAAAATGTTGGAGTTATCAGTGTCTATCTCATGTGTAAATTGTAATGAGCACTCAAACCCTAAATGATTCAACTTACATTGATCTTTTGAATCTCTTGGGATATCCAAAGCACTTATAAGTGTCTGACTTTAAGAAAATCATTGTTAGTGACAGGAAAAGACAATATATGTAAAAATAGCTTCCAAATATTTGAGTTGCTCCGGACCAAGAAGGGAGCTTCAGATGTGAAAATATGAACAGGTTTGTGATATTATAATTTCAGTGAGCACTATGTTTTAGCAAACATCTTTGCAAGAAGCTAGAATCTGGTTTCTGAGTGTGCCTTGTGGCTACTGCCGGAAACTATTAGCATCTTAAGTGGGTGGAACATTTTTATTAATTATTAATAACAGTCGAAATATTCATTACTGTCCAATATCGCTTTTGCCTATTGTGGCTGCTGAATACTGGAGGCAGTAAACAAGAAGATGATGGTAAAGTGCTGATTATTCCTGCCATACTGTCTCACAATGATGTGATTATCAGTTTGTGCCACACCCCCTCACAGTACTGTATGGCTCACATGTTGTTTTCTGACAAGCCAGCAGTACAATTGAGCTGTTTCTGAATACATGTTTGCCAACATAACTCGAGACATCATGATAACAAATGACTGTTTAGAGAAACTCAAAATATTCTTTATCTGTAAAAAAATGTATTGTTTATAATGTGAACTGTTTAAGAGAGCCAATGTCCTTTGAAATGTAGGACTAGAACCAGCACACAGCTCCACTGATTACAACAGGAGGGGTTGCATATTGCCTATTTCAATGACCAGTAAATCAAGAGTGATGCTGCAGATTCTCCTTTCCGGTTGCCCAGCAACATGACATCAAGCTCCTGTGTTAGACTGCATTAGGGTGGAAGGTCGGAAGTTGGTCTGCTGTCCCCACCCTGGCAGTCTCGCAAGCTGGTAGATAATATGTGGACATGTTATATGAAAGGATGTCTCTTTGCCTTGGGATTCGGCCACTGGCATGCATGGAGGGGAGCGAGGGAAAAACAATTCAAAGAGAAATCTGAGAATGCTACCCATAACAGCTCTGTAATTTCATTTGCTGCAGAGAGATGGGAGGAAAAACCCATTAGATTAGGTGGTGTGGAGTACCCCCTACCTTCCCTATTTGCTAATAGACAGACACACAGACTCGCATACAGACACTCCCACACTCACTCTTTAGCTCAACTGCTAAATCACACACTGTTTCAAGTGAACCACTCCCTCAGTAACTCACAACACACACAAACACAAATGGAGCAGTTCACAGAAAGACCTTGTGGAATACAACAGAGGTTTGGACAAAGAGTCACTCTTTTTCTATGTTTGTGTCTTGATATTGCAACAATCCTGTAAATGTGTAATGATATATGAAATCCTCAACCATCAACATACCTCTTGTGTATTTAAACTGGTAAATTAGTACATGCATGTATGTGTAAGAAATGCATTGCAATCACATTTTAAGCAGCACATATGGAAAGTTAAATAAATAAAATAATAAGTTTGCAAGTGAGCTGCTTGTATTATAGGACATGGCTCTTTGATCAATAATGGTCTGTTCAAACTTCAATAGATGTAGCCATTAGAATGCTATAGCACAATATCCCAGGGGATACATATTCCACAGTATTTCCTCTAATAGGTTTTGAAATGCATTCTTTCTAAGAGCTACAACACATGCAGTAGCCTATGTATTGCTCTTTGCTAAGTACAACACCTCAAGTATAAAATCTACCATACTTTGTCTATTATGGAAAATACAATTAATTAGGTTCATTCATTAATCGACACAAAAAAGTGAATATATTAAATTGATAAATATCATCTATTTTATGTTTCTATTATTTGTTCTGTTAATATAACCTCTCACAATATGCGTTCAAAGCTATGGGTACAGTAGGCCTACACAGACTTTTCCCATCGATGTACATGCTCAGAGCTCGATATCAACCTGATTTACTCTTCCATTGATGTGTGCTGCAGAGAGTAATGATTATGTGCCAGGGTTAGTGCTAAATAGTATTTGACAAGGCATGGAAAGGTTCCCCCTCGGAACAGTTGCACCCATGCTGGACACTGGCTGATCCTGTCATGGACTTACCACTGCAAACATCAAGAGTTCATAACGTTACAGTCAATGCATGGTGTTGCATAACATTGGCCTCCAATTACACTGGCTGGATGAATTCCACTGCACATGATAAACTATGTAAAGATTTGTTAATAGGTGTCAAAACGTTCTTATTTCTTGTTTTGATAGGTTGAACAATAACATAGTTTATGTAACACAATGAGAAACATGAGATAAGATTCCTTAATTATCTAAAAATGCATATCCTCAGTATGTTAAATTGTGTAGGTCAAACGGAAGGCCATTCCAACTACAAACCTACTGATCACAATAATCCACTCAGTGAGTGTAACCAAAGCGCTCCCTGAAATCATTTCCATATATTCAAAATAGATTTAATCTAACTCGACACGATATAGATACCTTTTCAGCTTGTTGCTTCAAATGCCTGATAATTTGTGTTGCCATGTATGTATTTATTCATTTCATTATTATAATAATTATTATTATTATTATAATTATTATTATTATAATTATTAATAGGACGACAGCGCCACCTGCAGCTTGAAAGGCAACATTAGCTTGACTCAAGTGTAAGGATTGCATGTTTGTTTTTCCTGGATTTAGTCTCTCAGGCTTACTACCAGGCTTAGAAACCAACACTGTTCATCAAAAATCATCCAAAATAAGTTAAAATACACTTTTATTGATATAGTTAAAATAAAATGTACTATAGTTTGCGTTTGGATGTGGCAAAAGTACTAAAAGCTGCGGGGCATACAAGCGGCCGGTGAGGAAGTGGTGCCTGAAAGATAAAACTCGGAGAATAAATGCTCTATGAATCCCAGCTGTTACCGGGCAACGCTAAAGGAGTGGGTGCAAGATGGCGAAAACACAACGGAAACATCAATAATACTGTTTTGATGCTTGAAACTTCAATGCAGACGGGTTAAACTGGCCGTTACTTCACGTCAGCTACTGTTAAAGCACTAAGCAGCCGAGATGGAGGATGAAGAGACAACGTTGGTAAGTGACATATTACAGAAACCCAAGGACAGAGAAAAAATGCTAACGCTAAATCAGTTCGGATTGCTGCAAATGTATACAGAAAGTAACCTTGTTAGACCTAAACGATAGATGACTTATCGCCCGTGCTTTCAAAACGTTCAAAAGTAACTTATGTGACGAGATTGTGAAGCTAAAAACTGCATACTGTTCCACTTTGTTCTGTTATGAAAACAGCGTTGGATGCATGCTCGACAGTAACGGTTGCCAGGTTGCCATTGGCAACCATTCAGAAAAAATGTCAACCACTTCTTGGCCTTTGGTTGCCATCAGTGGCAACCAGTTTTTAACATAAAGAAATAAGGACAGCAAACAGCAAAATGTGCACCCCAAAATAGATAAATGTTAATTATTTGTTGTATTAAGAGTGATATTTAATTATTGTTGTGACCAGTCGGAACCTGATACTTAAGTTGCAGGTGCATTGGTGTGATTACGGAGCCAGAAAGCGATGCACGTTTACTCGCGAGCGCGGTGCGCCGTGTGTTTGTTTTACAAAAAATGGCGAAGCAAATTAAGTTGTTTGACTGTGGGGTAAAAAGTTCGCCCAACCCGTCAACATCTCAAACTAATGTTCAAAGTGATTCAACTGATAAAGCGCAAGATGAACCCGTACGAAAAGCAAATAGGAAATGGGTAAAGTCTTGAGAGGCGAAACATTCTGCTCCGTTGTCCATTCACTTCCGGTAAAAGTTCCTTCAAAATAAGAGTCCCGATCTTATTACTACCAAAATAAAAGTGCAAAACGAAAACTTTACCATAGGAAAATATTGGCATACAAATATAATCACTTCTATAAAAAGGTAACACATTTTAAATATAGTTAGACATATTAAAGGTAATTTACAGCATTAATAATTAATATCTAATTCTTAACTGTGAATGGTTTTTATTTATTTAACATTAGAAATGTATTAGCCAATGCCAGAACCACAATCAAGACATCAATGCTGAAGGGCCAATGGATCTATGGTGGGGA